GGACCTGACTCCACTTACACCGAACAACCTGTTGATGATGCGAACAGGAGAGAGTCTGCCAACGGGACTCTTCACCAAGAATGACTGCTATATTTGCAGGAAGTGGAGGCAAGTACAATACCTGTCATACATGTTCTGGCAAAGATGGCACCGAGAGTACCTGACGACACTTCAGGAGAGACAGAAGTGGACCCGACAACAGCAAAACGTTGCTGTTGACGACATTGTGTTGGTTATGGACAACCTTCCTCGGAATGCATGGTGTCTTGTACGCATAGTGGAAAGTGTACGCTGACAAGAAAGGACTTCTTCGAATCGTAAAAGTGAAGACTGCTACTACCATGTTGACACGCCCAATAGACAAATTGTGTGTGATTCTCGAAGCAGGCTGTGACATGCACAAATAATGTGATTGTGATTGGTTTCGAAATAGACTCGAAAGAGATCTAGAATAGGAGACTTTTAAAAGTCTTTCGACCATTTCTAGTGTAAACATAAACTGTTAATGTGAAATGGACACTTGTGTTCATAGCAACATGACTGTTGCAAAAGTGAAAACTTCTGACGATTTCACAGAATTTTGAAAATCATTATATTTTGTTTGTATTTTTCAAGATATGTAATGATTGTTTTCGTTTGACTGCACAATTAGGGGGTCGGTGTGTAAGGTTTATGTTTAAAGTTCCTATTTATAGACTTGTATGAGCGCACGAGAAGAGCGTGCCAAGAACGATAACTCTAGTATTTTGTTATGTTGCTGAGTGGGAGGCACGCTCGTGTCTGTTGTCGAAATGCGGAGCGTATAAAACGTTATGTATACTTTATTTGTGTAAACAATTTAGTGAACATCTCTGTTATTATGATATCTAACGTTTAGAATTGTATTTTTGGTAAAATGTAATGTTTTTGATGGATTATTTTTTGAAAAGCAAATTTGTGTTGTTGGAATCATTTTTTTCATTAATTGACTGCTATATACATTGTTATTTTATTTAATTTTGCAGTCAATCCTTTCCTTCTGAATATCTCGACCATATCGTGGAATAAATCGACGGTTGGAGAGAAATTGTCGTTCGCTCTTATTTACACATTGTGTGACCTGGTTGATCAACCACTGGTCTGTCCACACATTGCGTGACCTGATTGATCAACCACTGGTCTGTCAACACATTGTGTGACCTGCCTGATCAACCACTTGTCTGTCCACACATTGCGTGACCTGCCTGATCAACGACTTGTCAGTCCATACATTGTGTGACCTGATTGATCAACCACTGGTCTCTCCATACATTGTCTGACCTGATTGATCAACCACTTGTCTGTCCACACATTGTGTGACCTGCCTGATCAACCACTGGTCAGTCCACACATTGTGTGACCTGATTCATCAACCACTGGTCAGTCCACACATTGTGTGACCTGCCTGATCAACCACTGGTCAGTCCACACATTGTGTGACCTGTCTGAACAACCACTGGTCTGTCCATACATTGCGTGACCTGCCTGATCAACGACTGGTCAGTCCATACATTGTGTGACCTGATTGATCAACCACTGGTCAGCCCATACATTGCGTGACCTACCTGATCAACCACTGGTCAGTCCATACATTGTGTGACCTGTCTGATCAACCACTGGTCTGTCCATATATTGTGTGACCTGTCTGATCAACCACTGGTCAGTCCATACATTGTGTGACCTGCCTGATCAACCACTGGTCAGTCCATACATTGTGTGACCTGTCTGATCAACCACTGGTCTGTCCATATATTGTTTGACCTGTCTGATCAACCACTGGTCAGTCCATACATTGGTGTGACCTGATTGATCAACCGCTGGTCTGTCCATACATTGTGTGACCTGACTGATCAACCACTGGTCAGTCCATACATTGTGTGACCTGCCTGATCAACCACTGGTCTGTCCACACATTGTGTGACCTGTCTGATCAACCACTGGTCAGTCCATACATTGTGTGACCTGCCTGATCAACCACTGGTCAGTCCATACATTGTGTGACCTGCCTGATCAACCACTGGTCAGTCCATACATTGCGTGACCTGATTGATCAACCACTGGTCTGTCAACACATTGTGTGACCTGCCTGATCAACCACTTGTCTGTCCACACATTGCGTGACCTGCCTGATCAACCACTTGTCAGTCCATACATTGTGTGACCTGATTGATCAACCACTGGTCTCTCCATACATTGTCTGACCTGATTGATCAACCACTTGTCTGTCCACACATTGTGTGACCTGCCTGATCAACCACTGGTCAGTCCACACATTGTGTGACCTGATTCATCAACCACTGGTCAGTCCACACATTGTGTGACCTGCCTGATCAACCACTGGTCAGTCCATACATTGTGTGACCTGTCTGAACAACCACTGGTCTGTCCATACATTGCGTAACCTGCCTGATCAACCACTGGTCAGTCCATACATTGTGTGACCTGATTGATCAACCACTGGTCAGCCCATACATTGCGTGACCTGCCTGATCTACCACTGGTCAGTCCACACATTGTGTGACCTGTCTGATCAACCACTGGTCTGTCCATATATTGTGTGACCTGTCTGATCAACCATTGGTCAGTCCATACATTGTGTGACCTGCCTGATCAACCACTGGTCAGCCCATACATTGCGTGACCTGCCTGATCAACCACTGGTCAGTCCATACATTGTGTGACCTGTCTGATCAACCACTGGTCAGCCCATACATTGCGTGACCTGCCTGATCAACCACTGGTCAGTCCATACATTGTGTGACCTGTCTGATCAACCACTGGTCTGTCCATATATTGTGTGACCTGTCTGATCAACCACTGGTCAGTCCATACATTGTGTGACCTGCCTGATCAACCACTGGTCAGTCCATACATTGTGTGACCTGTCTGATCAACCACTGGTCTGTCCATACATTGGTGTGACCTGATTGATCAACCACTGGTCTGTCCATACATTGTGTGACCTGACTGATCAACCACTGGTCTGTCCACACATTGTGTGACCTGTCTGATCAACCACTGGTCTGTCCATACATTGTGTGACCTGTCTGATCAACCACTGGTCTGTCCATACATTGTGTGACCTGACTGATCAACCACTGGTCTGTCCACACATTGTGTGACCTGTCTGATCAACCACTGGTCAGTCCATACATTGTGTGACCTGCCTGATCAACCACTGGTCTGTCCACACATTGTGTGACCTGTCTGATCAACCACTGGTCAGTCCATACATTGTGTGACCTGCCTGATCAACCACTGTTCAGTCCATACATTGTGTGACCTGCCTGATCAACCACTGGTCAGCCAATACATTGCGTGACCTGATTGATCAACCACTGGTCTGTCAACACATTGTGTGACCTGATTCATCAACCACTTGTCTGTCCACACATTGCGTGACCTGCCTGATCAACCACTTGTCAGTCCATACATTGTGTGACCTGATTGATCAACCACTGGTCTCTCCATACATTGTCTGACCTGATTGATCAACCACTTGTCTGTCCACACATTGTGTGACCTGCCTGATCAACCACTGGTCAGTCCACACATTGTGTGACCTGATTCATCAACCACTGGTCAGTCCATACATTGTGTGACCTGTCTGAACAACCACTGGTCTGTCCATACATTGCGTGACCTGCCTGATCAACCACTGATCAGTCCATACATTGTGTGACCTGATTGATCAACCACTGGTCAGCCCATACATTGCGTGACCTGCCTGATCTACCACTGGTCAGTCCATACATTGTGTGACCTGTCTGATCAACCACTGGTCTGTCCATATATTGTGTGACCTGTCTGATCAACCACTGGTCAGTCCATACATTGTGTGACCTGCCTGATCAACCACTGGTCAGTCCATACATTGTGTGACCTGTCTGATCAACCACTGGTCTGTCCATATATTGTTTGACCTGTCTGATCAACCACTGGTCAGTCCATACATTGGTGTGACCTGATTGATCAACCGCTGGTCTGTCCATACATTGTGTGACCTGACTGATCAACCACTGGTCAGTCCATACATTGTGTGACCTGCCTGATCAACCACTGGTCAGTCCACACATTGTGTGACCTGCCTGATCAACCACTGGTCAGTCCATACATTGCATGACCTGCCTGATAAACCACTGATCTGTCCACACATTGTGTGACCTGCCTGATCAACCACTGGTCTGTTCATGCATTGGTGTGACCTGATTGACCAATCACTGGTCAGGCCATTTATTGTGTGACTTGATTGACCAATCACTGGTCAGTCCATACATTGTGTGACCTGATTGATCAACCACTGGTCTGTCCATACATTGTGTGACCTCATTGATCAACCACTGGTCTGTCCACACATTGTTTGACCTGCCTGATCAACCACTGGTCAGGCCATGCATTGTGTGACCTGATTGACCAATCACTGGTCAAGCCATGCATTGTGTGACCTGATTGACCAATCATTGGTCAGGCCATGCATTGTGTGACCTGATTGATCAATCACTGGTCAGGCCATGCACTGTGTGACCTGCTTGAGCAATCACTGGTCAGTCCGCACATTGTGTGACCTGATTGATCAACCACTGGTCTGTCCACAAATTATATGACCTGTCTGGTCAACCACTAGTCTGTCCACACATTGTGTGACCAGGCTGACCAATCACTGGTCAGGCCATGCATTGCGTGACCTGATTGATCAATTACTGGTCAGGCCATACATTGTATGACCTGACTGACCAATCACTCCCAATTGCGTGGATCGATGCCTCATGATATTACTCACTGGATTGTCTGGTCCATACCTTGTGTGACCTGGCTGATCGACTACATGGCCGTACCTACATTGGACTTGCATGGCTTCCCGGGATTGTGACAATCTTATCTTTCAACGGTATACGGGTGTATGCACACACACACACACGCATGCACGCATGCAGCAGTTCACATCAATGCAGACAGACACAATAATGACAGAGACGGTAAGAGAAACATGAACAATCTGTAATCATTACGATATTGGCGTGACACAGGCACTCATAAACCATTCACCAGCATCATGTAGCGTTGTGGGTATACGCGTCATCCTGTTCTTTACTAATAGCCATTTTCACTTGTATCAATGAAAAAGATATCCATAGTTCTACTGACATGAGAAGAATGGAGTGTTGTTGCAACGTTCCTATCGCAAATCCTTCACAACAACATCAACTTGTGCTGTGCTCACTGTCCGTCTTCACATCTCAACATGTGTTATCTTGAGTAAAATGTACATTGTTATTAATATTTGCAAAGACATCTGACGTCAGTAACCCATTCTCTAACGTCCGGGCTGTATCGACCATCCCCGTCCATGTAGCTCTAGTAGCCCCCACTGCGGCTGTCAGTTATTGCCGTCTCTCCATGTTTATGGGAAAACGTTCAATGAACTATAATACTTCTTCTACAGATTGTTGAACATCAGGTTTTTCCTAGGGTTTAGTCACCTCTGAGTGGGGACAGTCATCCGCTGGATCTGGAATTTGAGCTCTGCTTGTGTTACCTCTCTCTAGATTCGGATCGCGCATTGGCTCCTCTGTACGTGAAGCTTGATCTAGACGTGGCTCCGTCTTCCCGGGGGTTTGGTCGGGACATGGCTCGTCCTTCGTCTGCGTTGGTAGTAGACTTTGCTTCTCCCCCTCGTGAATTTGGTCTAGACTTGGGTCCTCTGCCTTATGCGATTGGTCAAGGTTTCGATTCACCGTATCTTGGGATTGGTCTGGAAATGATTCCTCATTATCTTGGGATTGGTCTGGAAATGATTCCTCATTATCTTGGGTTTGGTCTGGAAATGATTCTTCATTATCTTGGGTTTGGTCTGGAAATGATTCCTCATTATCTTGGGTTTGGTCTGGAAATGATTCCTCATTATCTTGGGATCGGTCTGGAAATGATTCCTCATTATCTTGGGTTTGGTCTGGAAATGATTCCTCATTACCTTGGGTTTGGTCTGGAAATGATTCCTCATTATCTTGGGATCGGTCTGGAAATGATTCCTCATTATCTTGGGTTTGGTCTGGAAATGATTCTTTATTATCTTGGGTTTGGTCTGGACTTGATGTCTCCCCATCATTGCCTTGATAAAAGATGGGTTCATTTCTATCTTGATTTTGGTGTGGATTGAACAGGTCAGTATCAATCAGAGGTCGGCGATCTGATTCAGGCCCGTCCCCCGATTGATGCGGCATCTGGATGTGGTTGGTCTGCTGCTGACTATGTTCCTCCTCTGGATGGCGAAGGGGTTCATCCTCCTCGGGGATGTCCACACTGGTGTGGTACATTTCTGCCTTTGAGGAGGACTCAGGAACACGCACTGCCTGAAAAACAAAGCATACGTTGGGGCTTTATTAGACAAACGTGGACATCTTGGTTATACATGTAGTGACAAAGCACTTTGACGTGACAACTCACCCTGAATAAACAACAGAAACTGTATTTATATAACCAAGCTCTGGAAACGATTTATCTACATCACTGTAAATCCATGTCCCTTATTCCCACATTTATGGTGATGTACTCGCTTCATGCCAGCTCCCATCCAACCATACAACCGCCTCACCATCATATCGTGAAAACCAGCATATCATCTCACTACCATATCTAAAACAATAATTTACATGCAAGTATTGATTCAGTAATGTAAGACAAAATCAGTGAACTTGCAGCTGAATAGTCCACACCACATCTGAAGAAGAGCTTGATGGGTTCCGGGAGACAGCAGAATAACTGATCCACCACAGATACCAAGTACCGAGTGTCTGCCATCTTGGTCGTCCGGCAGCCTGCAACAGTGTCACGCGCGTTCTCCATAATGGACTCTCACTTTGTTTTAACCTTTTTTACTTTATCACACATCGCGCTCTCCTAAGCATACGATGGTTGTCTTAAAAGTTCTGAGATTATTGAAGGATGTATGATACAACCTTAACAGTTTGCATGTATTAAGTACACTATTTTCCATGCATCAGAACCAAATACATATGCAAGCAACATACTTCTGCAAGCTTCAAAGTGACTAAGTACTCTGTGTTGTGAACATGGACAAAATTGGCTACCGCGCTGTCATCAAGGATCTCCAACTGAAATGCTTACTCAAACAGCCAGCCATAAGGACAAGTATTCGTCTTGTATTTACATGCACCCATACTTTCACTTACCATTGAACATGTAGCTGGCTATAGCCCCAGTTACTATAACAAAAAATATGCCAAGTGCCCCGAACCACATATAGGACATGGAGTACAACTTGTCAAGGCCTTCTCTGTAACATAAATAAGTAAATCTTGAAATTTCACGCGAGCGTGAATTAAATGCGAAAATGCGAGTGGTCTTTGCTCGCACTTTTAAACATCGCATTTATATCACCAATAAGACAGTTTGGAAAGCAGAAATACCAACTTAGACATACGCTGAAAACAAATAACTACGTATTCCACATCACTGTTTATTGAGCAGAACTTGTACCAAGTATATAAACAATGTCATTACATCCTGTGAATTGTCACTTCTGGGGTAAAGACAAGAAGAGTTCTACCCACGCAACACGGTGTCTTTGTTCTTTGCGACTGCGTCAAAGGCCGACACGACCCAGCGCGTATGTATTGTTTTAGCGGAAGTACTCTACTCAGCGTTAATAAGCGGCGCTATTTGGTGTGTGATTGGATTTATGTAAGATTGCATTAAGGTGAGATTTCTCCTGTAAATCCGACAGAGGACATTTTCTTTAGATATAAATCCAATGATGCTTGAGAGGACGGGGGTGTCGCATTCATGTTGAGTCACATTTTTGGCAAGGGACAAGCGGTCGCATTCTTTTGGAGACGCATTAACTTCACGATTTACAGTATGAAAGTCAGTCCCGTAAATATATGTCTGTAACATGAATATTTGTCTGCAACGTTAATATATGTCAGTAGTGAGTGAGTGAGTATGGTTTTACGCCGCTTTTAGCAATATTCCAGCAATATCACGGCGGGGGACACCAGAAATGTATATGTCAGTAACGTAAATATATGTCTGTAACATAAATATATAAGTCAGTAACATAACGATATTTGTCTTTAACATAAAGATATCTGTCTGCAACATAAAGATATTGGTCTTTAACATAGAGATATCTGTCTGTAACATATAGATATCTTTCTGTAACACATTTATTTTCTGTAACTTGTTGGTATTTCTGGGCAGCATGAACGAATCTGTACATACTAGGTGGAGATTTTAAATGAACGCACGGGGAGTAGGCCTGTGTCGTCACAAAGATGTCAGGCGTGGTGTCGCTGATGCCGCTAATATAAGTGACGTTGTCGACTTGGCATCTGTCTGTCGGCCCTAGGGGAAGCCAGGGCGTCTTCCGCTTTGTAGTAGACATGTAGGACCCGATGGAGATCCAGAAGATGAACACTGCTCCTGTGACTGTTGCCACGAATGCCCCCTAGCAACACAAACCCTATATATATACACACGGACACATATACATACATATATACCTGTTACCATATATATATACACACGCACGCACTCAGACACGCACACATACATATATACCTGTTGCCATATATATACACACGCACTCACGCACGCGCTCAGACACGCACACATACATATATACCTGTTGCCATATATATACACACGCACTCACGCACGCACTCAGACACGCACAGATACATATATACCTATTGCCATATATATACACACGCACTCACGCACGCACTCAGACACGCACACATACATATATACCTGTTGCCATATTTATACACACGCACTCACGCACGCACTCAGACACGCACACATACATATATACCTGTTGCCATATATATACACACGCACTCACGCACGCACTCAGACACGCACACATACATATATACCTGTTGCCATATATATACACACGCACTCACGCACGCACTCAGACACGCACACATACATATATACCTGTTACCATATATATATACACACGCACTCACGCACGCACTCAGACACGCACACATACATATATACCTGTTACCATATATATATACACACGCACTCACGTACGCACTCAGACACGCACACATACATATATACCTGTTGCCAAGGTATGTCATGTTGCCATAATGCATTAACACGTTTACCTGGATATTCGCCCACGGTATGAATGCTCCCAGGATAAACAGGCCCGTGGCAGGGCCGGAAAAGGCAGCCAGCAGACTGAAGGATATCTTGAAATACAAAACAGTAGGACAATGACATACCAGACATTCTAATAAAACAGTTCACTGTTTCTTGTGGTGTAGCCTTCTGAACTTTCTAGATAGGACTATGCCCTGGTTGGCTGAATAAATACAGTGTCTTTCGATAGTGAGCTGATCTGTGGCAGTAAAATATATATTTATCCAGCAGTTGTGTAAAATCCGCAACATTTACCTGTGACAATGTCCCGCCGATCTTGGCGATGAGCAGCGAGATGGCTACACACACGCCTCCACACGCCACCACTGTCAGGAGAGACGCAACACCGTTGGTTACAACTCATTGCTTACAACTCCCCAAACTGATACAGTACGAGTATCTACATACACATTGCAATATACACACTGAAGTACTGTTGTGCATATTTTGTAACCCCATTTTAGGTTGTTTTTCTTCCAATTTATTAAAGCATAGCTGTTACAACAACGTTCACAACATGATGGTGAGATCGGATTGTGTTGAACTTGATACACTAATCACACCACATCAATAAGTTGCGGAGGGTCCTGCTCAGTTGCGGTCCTACCTGAACACTTGGCTATGATCGTGGCCTTCATCTCGGTAGGATTCTTCACATACGGTTTGACGTAGTCCTCCCAGGTCTGTGCAGACAATCCACTGAGGCCCGACGACAGCGTGCTGCAACACAGGGGCGTTAGCTGTGTGAGGGTGTCGAGGTGGGAGTGTGCATTGATAAAGTATTGGCTATCACAATGCTAATCCCCCATACACGATGGCCAGTTAGATATGACTGTTTGAATTTAATTTACTATCCATCCTACACACTACTGGAGCTGAAAGGATCAAACGGGTAACACTATCAGAATACCCACTAACTACGAAAATTACCTCTTCCGAAAAACCTGCTAAATTTTACTTAAATACTGTTACAATTGACTTGAAATTGTTTTGTATCGGAATAGGTGGAATACTGCTGCAGGAACCGTTGCAGTTGAAAAACTTCATTTGTCTATGTCAATAACAACAGTTGTAACAGCTTTCACGGAAAATATAACTTGAAAAATGGCCGACTCTGTTTGGGTTTGATGTTTATGTTACGTAGATAAGAAACAATGTGTTTTTGAAACCACTGGTGCTCCCTACCTCAGAGAGGCGCTGAATAAAGCCGCCATGAACAGTCCCGGCATGCCTGGCAAATTCCGGAAGATGTCCATCACCATAAACGGAATGATCTGCAGATACCCAGAAGACCCCACTATATAGATACACAGGACATCCCACTTTATAGATATCCAGGACATCCCACTATATAGATACACTTGACACCCAACTAATATAGATACACTGGACACTCCACTATATAGATACACAGGGCACCCCACTATACAGATACACAGGACATCCCACTATATAGATACCCAGAAGACCCCATTATATAGATACCCAGAAGACCCCACTATATAGATACACAGGACATCCCACTATATAGATACACAGGACATCCCACTATATAGATACACTTGACACCCAACTATATAGATACACTTGACACCCAACTATATAGATACACTTGACACCCAACTATATAGATACACTTGACACCCAACTATATAGATACACTTGACACCCAACTATATAGATACACTTGACACCCAACTATATAGAAACACTTGACACCCCACTATATAGACACACTTGACACCCAACTATATAGATACACTTGACACCCAACTATATAGATACACTTGACACCCCACTATATAGATACACTTGACACCCAACTAATATAGATACACTTGACACCCCACTATATAGATACACAGGGCACCCCACTACATAGATACATATGACACCCCCACTATATAGATACACAGGACACCCAACTATATAGATACACAGGACACCCCACTATATAGATACACAGGACACCCCACTATATAGATACACAGGACACCCCACTATATAGATACACAGGACACCCCAATATATAGATACACAGGACACCCAACTATGTAGATACACAGGACACCCCACTATATAGATACACTTGACACCCCCACTATATAGATACACAGGACACCCCACTATATAGATACACAGGACACCCCACTATATAGATACACAGGACACCCCACTATGTAGATACACAGGACACCCCACTATATAGATACACTTGACACTCCACTATATAGATACATATGACACCCCTTTATATAGATACACTTGACGTCCCACGATATAGATACATAATTATGACACCTCACTATAGAGACAAACGACACCTCACTAACTCCTCGCTGTATGGAAACACACAATCTTATACCCAAATAAGACATAGTGACAATGAGTTACCCTCATACCCATTGGCACCTGTACCTGGTTAGGGTTTGTGATTTGTTTGGACTTGAGAGGATCACAGCCTTTGTCGTAGTAGTAGGCGAACGCCACCAGCCCTTCCAAGGTTGCCAGGGACAGGGTGATGAAGAAGGCGGGACCAGTGATGAGCAAAACTCTACAAGCAGCATTCAGTTAGGACATCTTCTATTGCAACAATTTCCTGAATTGTTATAGTGTACCTAAGAATGTTCCATATTTTCATCAGTAATTTACTCTCTGTAATATATTGCTGTACATAACCGCAAGATTGAATATCAAGAGTCGATCAAAGTTTTTACCACCGTTGTTATTTTATCACTGTATGTCGGATTTCTAGTGGACGTGTTACCTACTAGACTCCATCGGCACAGCGTATATACTACTGGACTAGTAGTGAGTAACATAGACTTCTATACACAAGCGACCCGTGAAGATCCGGGGTCCAATAGGTCTTCAGCAACCCATGCCTGTCGTAAAAGGCGATCATGCTTGCCGTAAGACTAACGGGATCGGGTGGTCAGGCTCGCTGACTTGGTTGATGCATGTCATCCCATTACTGGATTGACTGGTCCATACTCGATTATTTACACACCGCCGCCATATAGCTGGGATATTGCTGAGTGCGGCGTTAAACAACAAACCAACCAAACCAACTATACATGTAGATAGATAGATAGATAGATAGATAGATAGATAGATAGACAAGCTGTCCTACATATTTCATTATAACATATGTTTCTAGATATGATGCATAGTCTCAAGTATGTATTAACTGTAGTAGTTGACATCTCCTCTTGTCTTACTTCTTGGCCTGCAGCTCGGTTGGCGTGGAGGAGATACGCTGGATGGCAGCCTGACCGATGGTCAGTCCGATCATCCTGACGCTGGACCCCAGAAACAAGCTCCAGAAGGTGTGGCGAACTGTTGGGTCGGGGTTGAAGCTGGTGATAGGACACACTTAACATTAAACACATTAAACCCCACACGGAAACCTGACGGCGATCAGTTGGGTCAAGTCTGAAGCTGTGGGTGGGGCATACATTTACATTAAACCCTACACGGAAACCTGACGGCGATCAGTTGGGTCAAGTCTGAAGCTGTGGGTGGGGCATACATCTACATTAAACCCTACACGGAAACCTGACGGCGATCAGTGGGGTCAAGTATGAAGCTGTGGGTGGGGCATATGTGTACATTAAACCCTACACGGAAACCTGACGGCGATCAGTTGGGTCAAGTCTGAAGCTGTGGGTGGGGCATATGTGTACATTAAACCCTACACGGAAACCTGACGGCGATCAGTGGGGTCAAGTCTGAAGCTGTGGGTGGGGCATATGTGTACATTAAACCCTACACGGAAACCTGACGGCGATCAGTGGGGTAAAGTCTGAAGCTGTGGGTGGGGCATACATTTACATTAAACCCTACACGGAAGACTGTGAACTGTTGGGTCGTGGTTGAAGCTGGCGGTTGCGGCCAATTTACATTATGTACCTCCGGTGAGGGTTTACTGTAACCCAATGTTTTTCCACTATGGTCTAGTGGTAGAGCGTCTGCCGGGGGTCGCAAGGTCCGGGGTTTGATCCCCGGCCGCGTCATACCAAAAGAAGTCAAAGATGGTACTTGTTGTTACCCTGTCTGGCGCTCAGCATTAACAACATTCCCCCTACAACAAGGACTGGTCGGCTCGGAGTCAGTATACCGTGTCTGAGTGGGGTATTCATGTAAGACTGCGGCATGATATCTCAGTGTGCTAGCACTATATATCGGCAACACACACACACACACACACACAAACACACACACACACACACACACACGCGCGCGCGCACGCACACACACACACACACACACACACACACACACACACACACACACACGTGCATGAACATCGCTAGATAAGTGCAATCATCTTGGACGCGACGTTAAATCCCATTTCACCTCACCTCACCACCTGCCTCCCACTGAGCCGCCGGTGCAGGTGGTGACGTAAAGGTTTGTGACATCGTGGGTCGTCCACTGGTTGGTGCACGTGCCAGTGCCGATGCGGCACGTGCTGGCATATCAATGAACTTTAAGCGAGCCTGTTGTAAACACGGGTCTTGGTATCAAATAGAAATAACATATTTGGTTAATGCGTGTATCAATCTAAGAAGATGTCGGTTTGAAAGTCGGTTCACGATCTTGAACTTGGAATTTTGGAGAGTAGTATGACCTCGGGAGAACAGGTCGAAAAGGCATTTCGGCCTTCGGTCTTACGTTTTCACCTATCCCCCTCAGGCCTACTCCACCCACCAAGACCTCATTCCCGGTCTTTCCCGACCCCCAGGGCATGCTCTGTCTACCTAAACCGAAGGAAAGTGTTTTTCCATACTTATAAACCGTCTAAATTGATTAAATGTTATAACGAGCATCTATAAATGAGGCGCTTCATTATAGCGCTTCCTTGAAGACGATATATTATAACTTGCACGTAAAATTCGCTGTCTTGCCAGGCGGTCAAGAGCCCTTGGATGTGCCAACAACAAAACACAACTCAAATACTTACTTTTAAATGAAAGTGAAATCTTCGGTTTCTAAATGTATGTGTTGCAATATTCCACTTCTTTTAAACTTTTCAAAACTATATCCCGCTTAAATTCGCAAATTTAAAGGTGTTTTTTGCTTTACAAGATTTTCGACTTTAAACAATCCAACTGTTACATAGAGGTAGTTGTAACGTAACGGCTAGCAGTTACTGCACGTGCAAATTGTGCAGCATTGATAAGCACTTGTTTAAAAGCACGTGTTTTGAAACCTTGCTGTCCTTTCACCAGAGACTGATGTGGAAAGATGAGCGACGACGACGACGACGACTTTCATTTTGTTACGCAGTCTTCATTCACTGAAGAAAGCGATGACTTTTCTTATCGATTTGGAAAGCCATTAACCGAAGAAGAACTTGATAAACGTTTGGAAATATGTGTATCGAAATCAACAACCTACAAGAATGATTGGGCCATAGGAGTGTTTGGGGGGCACGGGTGGCCCAGTCGTCTAAGGCGCCGCGATTCGCTGTGCAGAGTTGCGTCCCTTGGGCACGCCAGAAACCTATGATTGTGGGTTCGAATCCCGGTTCGCCCCAATTATGTTTCTAGGTTTGTCAGCACCATACCCGTGCTCGTGGGTTTCACCGAAGTGGTAAACGTCTGAGACCTGCATCACTTCGGGCTTTCCTCCCACATTAAGCTGACACGCCGTGATATAACTGGAATAATGTTAAAAGCGGCGTTAAACCCAACTCACTCACTCACTCACTCATAGGAGTGTTTGAAAGGTGGCAAAAGGAGCGGTTACATCGCCCTATTGGGGAAAATTTGGGACTATCGTCATCAATTTTCAATCAAAAGTTTATGCAACAGAGCGCCGGAGATTTAAATGTTGGCTTAAAGTTTTTCCTTTTTGAGGCCAGAAAAACCAATGGAGAACTATATCCCGCTACAATTGTTTATGGGCTCTTTACCGCACTAGCATCAGCTCTAAAAGCAAGTGGCTCATCCTTCAAATTAATGGATGATGACATATTTCAAGACAGTCGGAAAGCTCTGGACGCAGTCATGCGTGAGCGATGCCGAGGAGCCGATTGCAGAAAGCCGACCGAGGTGATAACAAGAGAAGAGGAGGATGCTCTGTGGAAGAAAGGTGCTCTTGGCGACAGCTCTCCTCAACAGTTACTGGATACAGTTTTATATCTTACAGGTAAAAGCATTAATTTTCGTAATGTTCTATTTTAAAGGTACATTAAAATGTTAACCATAATTTTTTTAATTCCCTCGTGCTATTACAGTTTGACGAAAACAACCTCTTGGAGGAGGCTCATTTGGTTAATATAAAGATGCTGAAATGCCATTTACATGGATGAAATTTGAAAGTTAGGCATTAGCGTTCCAAAACATTTTCGTTGGTTTCTTTTAAAGCTCTAAATTAAGAGTGGCCGTTCAAAAGAGTTTTAAAATTTAAAAGTTGGGTCTTGTAAATCTTATAAATTGGTTTTAATTGATTCCGTTTTAGGTCTTCATTTTGCTTTACGAGGCGGAAAAGAGCATCGTGCTCTGAGGCTTCACTTGAATCCTCAGATCACCGGCCCTTACACTGATCAGAATGGGCGCAGGTATTTAGAGTACGTTGAAGATGTGTCCAAAACCAACCCGGGTGGTATTCGGGAGCGTAAGGTGGAGAAAAAAAGGGCCTGGGAATACGAGAACACGGAACATCCGGAGAGATGTTACCTGAAGGTTTTTGAAAAATACAAATCCTTGTGGTAAGAACAATGGTCATATTAATTTATTTCTAACCCAGTTATATTTACATATTTTAATAGAATAATATATAGGACCTTTTTTCAGTATCTAGTCCCTATATTGTTCAAAACTTTGGTTATTAATACTTTCATGAAGTAATGTCACCAGGTAAAGGAGTAAACATTTCTTGTCCCACTATTGGCACGTCATGAAAGCACGAAAACAAATACTGCAATTATGCAATACTATTAGAATACCGTCAGAAAAATTATTTGAAGTTTTGGCTGGGTTAGTATCCAAAAGGTCCACTTTGGAACGAAGGTCAAACGGCAAGTCGTTTAATGAGTATTGTTAATTTGAAAGCCCCAAAGGTCATGTTAAGCTTTTCTAAGAGGTTCATAGTATAATAAAAAAATTTTATCTCGAACGATTTTTGATTAACTATTACTATTTATCTATTTTTCAGCCCCCAGTCGCCTACACGGCCGAATGCTTTCTACTTCGCTGCCCAAAAAAAACCAAGGGAGGAAAAGTGGTTTTTGGAATCGCCAGTGGGTCATAATACTCTACAAACACTGTGAAGCGGTTGTGCCAGATGGCCGGACCTATTGGCAGAATGACGAACCATTCCTTGCGATCAACAGCTGCCACCCGCCTGTATGAGGCTAGTATTAGCGAGCAGCAGATTTGCGAACACACATCTAGGCATAAATATTGACTTTTTTTATTGTTCTAAAGGTTTTAACAGAAGATAATGAAGGTGTTAGATTAATTTTATCTGACCAGTTTTCCTTTTTTTTAGAAATATGCATCCCTAAACTTCAAGATATAAGTTGTAAATACATATAAATATTTGTATATGTATAGTTTGAGGTCAAACGTGTCCTTCAAAACTAATTTGATAGACATTCAAGTATTCACGCAAAATCGAGGGTCCATTTTGTCATTTTTTACAAAAATTATCTTTATTAACTTAAAATTGCGATATGAAAATGATTTTCGTAATCGGTGGCTTGTGGTTGCAAAGGCGTCATAACGTATATTTGATTATTTGTCATAAAAACACACTTAAAAAAGACATTTTAATACTTAAACCATGAAGAAAGTAAGAATATAAAAGAAAAATCTGATTTTCAGTCTGAAGTATAGTCTGCAGATTTAATATAAAAAATAGATTTGGATCCCCAAACCGGTGTACAGCACCTCCATGTACATAATGATTTTTATCTGCATGTTTGTTTATTCCAGGTCATCGTAGTGATGCCGTTCGGCTATATAAACGTACCAATGATGACCTCAAAGCCAAAGCATCAGATGTCATTTGTGCCAAGAAGGGGAAGAAGGACATAGAACCAATACCATCTACATCTGCATCTGTTGAACCACTACCATCTACATCTGCATCTGTTGAACCACTACCATCTACATCTTCATCTGTAGAACCACTACCATCTCCATCTGTAGAACCACTACCATCTACATCTGCATCTGTTGAACCACTACCATCTACATCTGCATCTGTTGAACCACTACCATCTACATCTTCATCTGTAGAACCACTACCATCTCCATCTGTAGAACCACTACCATCTCCATCTGCATCTGTTGAACCACTACCATCTACATCTGCATCTGTTGAACCACTACCATCTACATCTTCATCTGTTGAACCACAACCATCTACATCTGGAACCTCCAAGTCAAATAATGTCGCTTTTCAATGTCCACGCCGAAGTGTACCCATGACATTCAATTTTAATTGAAATACAATTTTGAATTGCTACTTGTCATTTTTTCAGTTACTTGGTTAAACCTTGGATTGGAGGTTTTACATTCAAAGTAAAAAAACCCGAACGAAAGTAAAACCTCATAATAAGTTTTACTTTGAAAGTAAAACCTCTTAATAGGTTTTACTTTGAAAGTAAAACCTCACAATAGGTTTTAATGCCTATAGAAAGAATTCTCTTACTTAATAGAGATGCCAATGAATAGGTTTATAAAGATAGTTAATGCTCTGATATTTTACTGCAATATTGCGTCGCGTGGCATCCTGAATGGGCTTCAGCACACTGAACCCACGCTGCAGAGATCCATCCCATTTGTCGCTGTTTAGCATTTGAAGGTGTGACGATCAGCTATATTTGAAAACTTGTCTGGTACTCACTCGAAAAAATTAAGTCGGCCATTTTGATAGTTGATGTTCCACATTTCAGTTGGTCCCCCAACTTCCATTGTCCCCTACAAGAAAACAACACGTGTGCTAAACTTAACCGCCCCTGCCTCCAATGAACTCGCTTGTACTGATATTTACATTTAAATGATAAAAAAAACATGTAAACATTCTAAATACGAGGGGCGTTCAATAAGTTTTGCAACTTCAATGTAAGATCAAGTCGCAGAATATCTCTTACACTTTTATTTTTCAATATAATCTCCTTTCACCTCAATACATTTATTTCATTTGTCCTTCAAGCTTTTAATACCACTTTTATAGAAATCCGCAGATTGGCCCTCTAACTACGCCTCTGTGGCAGCCTTTATATCCTCGTCATCCTGGAAGCTTTCTTCCATGTAGGGCAGATTTCATTTGCCGGAACAAGAAATAGGCACTGGGGGCTAAGTCTGGGCTGGAGGGTGGGTGATTTAACTGTTCGAATCCACATTCACATATGGCGGCCTGTGCAATTCTCGACTCGTGAACCAGATCGTTGTCATGCAAAAGTAGAATACCACGTGTTAACATCCCACGGCGTTTCTCGCGAATAGATTTCGCAATTCTTTCATTACATTAGCATAATACTGTCCATTGATTGTAGTTTTTGGTGGCATGTAATCAGTAATATGCCTCTTGCATCCCAAAATATGATGGCCATTACCTTGCCAGCCGATGGTTGAGATGCTCATGAATAATGGTTCCAACAGTTCCAAATGCTATTTGGAATTTCCCTAGAAAGTTAAGATACTTTCCCTCGTGGGTCAGACAAAATTCTTCTTTCTATAGCAGCAATGGTTTCTGGTTGGGTGGCATCTGAAGGCCTGCCTGACCTTGGGTCATCGTCTATGGACTCCCTACCCCTTTTATACTGTAGAGACCAACGACAAACTGTGGAATAGTCAGGAGCATCCTTACCCATCACTTTACACATGCGATCATGGATTTCTTTTGATCTGCATCCCTCCTTGGTGAGGAACGTTATTACAGCGCGTTGTTCATGTTTGAGAGAATCCATGATTGTGACTACCCTTAGGCGAATGAAGCCATCACATCTAACTTATTGTTGTGTCTGGAACTTGTTATGACACGTGTCAACCTGATGTTATGACTAGTGTCACACCTGCCACCAGTTGACATTGTTTGTGTTAACACAAATGCCAAAGTTGCAAAACTTATTAAACGCCCCTCGTAGGATACGATAGCGTTTGGTCAAATCTTCCGACGATACAGATTAAGGACGATGTTATTAACTGCACATGGGGACAAAATTGGAGAAAAGTTCCACATGAACCTTACCTGTGACAGGGCTTCTCCATGCAAGGAAGGACGACACACCTAGATATGACTGCTTACTACAGTTGATGATGACAGCCTCCCCACAAGCTAGGACTACATACCTGCATTTAATGATGACAGCCTCCCACAGGACGACATACCTACAGTTGATGATGACAGCCTCCCCACAAGCCAAGACGACATACCTACAGTTGATGATGACAGCCTCCCACAGGACGACATACCTACAGTTGATGATGACAGCCTCCCCACAAGCCAAGACGACATACCTACAGTTGATGATGACAGCCTCCCACAGGACGACATACCTACAGTTGATGATGACAGCCTCCCCACAAGCCAAGACGACATACCTACAGTTGATGATGACAGCCTCCCACAGGACGACATACCTACAGTTGATGATGACAGCCTCCCACAGGACGACATACCTACAGTTGATGATGACAGCCTCCCCATCAGCCAAGACGACATAAATACAGTTGATGATGACAGCCTCCCCATCAGCCAAGACGACATAAATACAGTTGATGATGACAGCCTCCCCATCAGCCAAGACGACATACCTAAAGTTGATGATGACAGCCTCCCCAAACGCCAAGACGACATAAATACAGTTGATGATGACAGCCTCCCACAGGACGACATACCTACAGTTGATGATGACAGCCTCCCCAAACGCCAAGACGACATAAATACAGTTGATGATGACAGCCTCCCCACAAGCCAAGACGACATACCTACAGTTGATGATGACAGCCTCCCACAGGACGACATACCTACAGTTGATGATGACAGCCTCCCACAGGACGACATACCTACAGTTGATGATGACAGCCTCCCACAGGACGACATACTTACAGTTGATGATGACACACTCCCTACAAGCCAAAAAGACATACCTACATTTGATGATGACAGCCTTCCAAAGGACGACATACCTACAGTTGATGATGACAGCCTCCATACAAGCTAGGACGACATACCTACAGTTTATGATGCAGTCTCCCCACGAGCAAGAACAGTTGATGATGAGAGTCTTCCACAGGACGACATACCTACAGTTGATGATGACAGCCTCCCCACAGGGTATAAGGACATACCTACGGTTGATGACAGCCTCCCCACAGGGCATGACGACATACCTACATTTGATGATGACAGCCTCCCCACAGGGCATGACGACATACCAACAGTTGAGGATGACAGCCTCCCCACAGGGTATGACGACATACCTACAGTTGATGATGACAGCCTCCCCACAGGGCATGACGACATACCTACAGTTGATGATGACAGCCTTCCCACAGGGCATGACGACATACCTACAGTTCTGTTGATGATGACAGCCTTCCCACAGGGCATGACGACATACCTACAGTACTGTTGATGATGACAGCCTCTTCGCAGGGCATGACGACATACCTACAGTTGATGATGACAGCCTCCTCGCAGGGCATGATGACATACCTTGATGAGAATTGCGAACATTCCGGTGAGCATGACAACCGTCTGGAAAACGTCCGTCCAGATAACAGCCTTGAATCCTCCCTGACCAATTAGTCAAGTCAGTGAATTACCACAAAAGTTCAATGAATTATAACACAAGTACTATGAATAATAAACAGATAACATTGAAACACACAGTTTCAGATAAGTGACAACAGCAATAAGTACCAGGCCCTCAAGCACACTCACGATAGTTCAGAATAGTGCCACTATCAAAAGTCTTGAAAGAGGCGCTGCTCTGTCGTGAAAGACATGGAAGAACCAACTTTAACTCTCCGAGATAGGTACAACAGACCTTCACGAAACTGTCACATCACGAAACAGTCACATCACGAAACTGTCACATCACGAAATTACTCGAACGATTAAGTTGTCCTGTGTTTGCCAACAACCAAGAGAGTTTACTCTAAATTCTGCTTCCTGCTACAATCTGGCCACGACTTGATATTTTACGAGAGTGTCAGTCATTTGCTGCCACTGACAGTGACTACACGTAAACTTACATCAATATCTAATGCCACAAAACAAGGGAAGGAAACACACATACACCAGTCTCCACTTACGATCGTTGTATAACACACCGAGGCGCACGCTACCACCGCCATGGAACCAGCAAGAGGAAACCCTGTCACTGAAATAGAAGTCCAAGACTATTGAAAACCGCTGTCAGCATATCTTTAAACATAGATGGCGTAATTCAACACTATATACACAACTGCGATGCGATAATATGTCGACTCCCTTGTGAAGCCCTAAATATCCCATCCCACTTCCGCACATGGAATACAGGCGTACTGATCATATGGCTGTTGAGTCATTACTTGTGATACACACGATATCCATACATTCATGATACCTACCCAGAGTGTGGACCCCAAAGTCATGATACCCACTTGTTATACCCAGTGTGTCGCCCCCAAAGTCATGACACCCACTTGTGATACCCAGTGTGTGGACCCTAAAGTCATGACATCCACTTGTGATACCCAGTGTGTGGACCCTAAAGTCATGACACCCACTTGTGATACCCAGTGTGTGGACCCCAAAGTCATGACACCCACTTGTGATACCCAGTGTGTGGACCCCAAAGTCATGATACCCACTTGTGATACCCAGTGTGTGGAACCCAAAGTCATGACATCCACTTGTGATACCCAGTGTGACGACCCCAAAGTCATGACACCCACTTGTGATACCCAGTGAGTCGATCCTACAGTTTTGATACCCACTATTAATACCCAGTGTGTCGATCCTACAGTTTTGATACCCACTTGTGATACCCAGTGTGTCAATCCTACAGTTTTGATACCCACTAGTGAAACCCAGTGTGTCGATCCTACAGGTTTGATACCCACTTGTGATACGCAGTGTGTTGACCTCAAAGTCATGACAAACACTTGTGATACCCAGTGTGTGGACCCATAAGTCATGACACCCACTTCTGATACCCAGTGTGTAGACCCCAAAGTCATGACATCCACTTGTGATACCCAGTGTGTGGACCCCAAAGTCATGACACCCACTTGTTATACCCAGTGTGTGAACCCCAAAGTCATGACACCCACTTGTTATACCCAGTGTGTTGACCCCAAAGTCATGACATCCACTTGTTATACCCAGTGTGTGGACCCCAAAGTCATGACACCCACTTGTTATACCCAGTGTGTGGACCCCAAAGTCATGACATCCACTTGTGATACCCAGTGTGTTGACCCCAAAGTCATGACAAACACTTGTGACACCCAGTGTGTAGACCCCAAAGTCATGACATCCACTTGTGATACCCAGTGTGTGGACCCCAAAGCCATGACATCCACTTGCGATACCCAGTGTATCGATCCTACAGTTATGATACCCACTTGTGATACCCAGTGTGTTGACCCCAAAGTCATGACAAACACTTGTGATACCCAGTGTGTGGACCCCAAAGTCATGACACCCACTTCTGATACCCAGTGTGTGGACCCCAAAGTCATGACATCCACTTGTGATACCCAGTGTGTGGACCCCAAAGTCATGACATCCACTTGTGATACCCAGTGTGTCGACCCAAAAGTCATGACACCAACTTCTGATACCCAGTGTGTCGACCCCAAAGTAATGACACCCACTTGTTATACCCAGTGTGTGGACCCCAAAGTCATGACACCCACTTGTGATACCAAGTGTTTGGACCCCAAAGTCATGACAAACACTTGTGATACCCAGTGTGTGGACCCCAAAGTCATGACATCCACTTCTGATACCCAGTGTGTAGACCCAATAGTCATGAAATCCACTTGTGATACCCAGTGTGTGGACCCCAAAGTCATAACACCCACTTGTGATACCCAGTGTGTCGACCCAAAAGTCATGACATCCACTTGTGATACCCAGTGTGTTGACCCCAAAGTCAAGACAAACACTTGTGATACCCAGTGTGTGGACCCCAAAGTCATGACATCCCCTTGTGATACCCAGTGTGTGGACTCCAAAGTCATGACACCCACTAGTGATACCAAGTGTGTGGACTCCAAAGTCATGACACCCACTAGTGATACCCAGTGTGTCGACCCCAAAGTCATGACACACTAGTGATACCCAGTGTGTGGACCCCAAAGTCATGACACCCACTAGTGATACCCAGTGTGTGGACTCCAAAGTCATGACACCCACTAGTGATACCCAGTGTGTGGACTCCAAAGTCATGACACCCACTTGTGATACCCAGTGTGTGGACCCCAAAGTCATGACACCCACTTGTGATACCAAGTGTGTGGACTCCAAAGTCATGACACCCACTTCTGATACCCAGTGTGTCGACCCCAAAGTCATGACACCCACTTGTGATGCCAAGTGTGTGGACTCCAAAGTCATGACACCCACTAGTGATACCAAGTGTGTCGCCCCCAAAGTAATGACACCCACTTGTGATACCCAGTGTGTGGACCCCAAAGTCATGACACCCACTAGTGATACCAAGTGTGTGGACTCCAAAGTCATGACACCCACTTCTGATACCCAGTGTGTCGACCCCAAAGTCATGACATCCACTTGTGATACCCAGTGTGTTGACCCCAAAGAGATGACATCCACTTGTGATACCCAGTGTGTCGACCCCAAAGTAATGACACCCACTTGTTATACCCAGTGTGTGGAACCCAAAGTCATGACATCCACTTGTTATACCCAGTGTGTGGACCCCAAAGTCATGACATCCACTTGTGATACCCAGTGTGACGACCCCAAAGTCATGACACCCATTTGTTATACCCAGTGTGTGGAACCCAAAGTCATGACACCCACTTGTGATACCCAGTGTGTCGACCCCAAAGTCATGACATCCACTTGTGATACCCAGTGTGTGGACCCCAAAGTCATGACATCCACTTGTGATACCCAGTGTGTCGATCCTACAGTTTTGATACCCACTTGTGATACCCAGTGTGACGACCCCAAAGTCATGACACCCACTTGTGATACCCAGTGTGTCGATCCTACAGTTTTGATACCCACTAGTGATACCCAGTGTGTCGATCCTACAGTTTTGATACCCACTTGTGATACCCAGTGTGTCGATCCTACAGTTTTGATACCCACTTGTGATACCCAGTGTGACGACCCCAAAGTCATGACACCCACTTGTGATACCCAGTGTGTGGACCCTACAGTTTTGATACCCACTAGTGATACCCAGTGTGTCGATGCTACAGTTTTGATACCCACTGGTGATACCCAGTGTGTCAATCCTACAGTTTTGATACCCACTAGTGATACCCAGTGTGTCGATCCTACAGTTTTGATACCCACTTGTGATACCCAGTGTGTCGACCCCAAAGTCATGACACCCACTTGTGATACCCAGTGTGTCGATCCTACAGTTTTGATACCCACTAGTGTCACCAAGTGTGTCATTCCCATAGTTATGATACCCACTTGCGATACCCAGTGTGTCGATCCTACAGGTTTGATACCCACTAGTGATACCCAGTGTGTCGATCCTACAGTTATGATACCCACTTGTGATACCCAGTGTGTACATAGATCACCTACCTGCCTCCAGTGCTATTGCCGGCCCAAACAATACAATGCCCATATAGAACAACTGAAAATAGAAACCGGGATAAGTGTACAATATCGTCAGTGACAATCACACACACACACACGTCACAATTACACCACCCCTGTAGCTAAACGTACGTACCGTACTGAGACATGCCATCTCACTTCACCCCTGTAGCAAAACGTACGTACTGTACTGAGACATGCCATTGTACGCCACCCCTGTAGCAAAATGTACGAACCGTACTGAGATATGCCATTGTACCCCATCCCCTGTAGCAAAACGTACGAATTGTACTGAGATATGCCATCTCACCTAACCCCCTGTAGCAAAAACGGTCGAACCGTACTGAAACGTGCCACCCTTACTCCATCCCTGTAGCAAAACGTACGTACCGACTGAGACATGCCATTGTACGCCACCCCCTGTAGCAAAAACGTACGAACCGTACTGAAACATGCCACCCTTACTCCATCCCTGTAGCAAAACGTACGTACCGTACTGAGACATGCCATTGTACGCCACCCCCCGTAGCAAAAACGTACGAACCGTACTGAAACATGCCACCCTTACTCCATCCCTGTAGCAAAACGTACGTACCGTACTGAGGCATGTCATCTCGCCTAACCCCCTGTACAAAACGTACGTACCGTACTGAGACATGCCATTGCACGCCACCCCCTGTAGCAAGACGTACGTACCGTACTGAGACATGCCATTGTACGCCACCCCCTGTAGCAAAACGTACGTACTGTACTGAGATATGCCATCCTTACCCCGTATCCTGTAGCACAACGTACGTACTGTACTGAGATATGCCACCCTTACCCCGTATCCTGTAGCACAACGTACGTACCGTACTGAGATATGCCAGCGTGGTTCCGAGTTGCCGGATCATCCTGGACTTGAACCTCAGCTGTAGGTACTCGTAGGCGCTGGTTAGCCTGAGTGGATGCACCATGGGCACGATCAGGCGGGTACCGATCAGGTTGGCGAACATGAAGCCGAACGTGCTGAGCCAGAACATGATTCCATAGATGTACACTTCAGCAGGGAACCCAAGCATCATGATGGAGGACTCGAAGGACACCATGAGAGACAGAGCAACAGGAATGATCTTCATCTTGCGTCCACCTACTAGGTATTCAGAAGCACTGGACTTGCGTCGTCCCTTCACGGCATAGTACGCCCCTATACCCAGTGATACTACGATAGTCAAACTAAACACCACGTAGTCTGCTAGATGAAACTGATGCGTAGGACTCACCATTGTGATGTTGCACACAGCTGACGTTATGTTACTGGAACATGAGTAAATGTAGTTACCAATACCGGTCTTACATGATAGAACATGCTGGAAACCTGCCTGAACATGATGGCGTGACAGATCATGGACAAATTGAAGTGCAGGTCTGGCATTGGTTATCCCAGTAAATACATTGTCCCTGAAAATTCTTAAAGAAATAATTATGCTTCCGACTATTGAAAATATTTAAAATTGCCAGCCACAGAACTTACACTGCTGCAAGGTGTTCTTCTTGGAAAAAGATTTCAGGCTCCTAGCTTTAAATAACATGTTATGTCGAATCTCGATCGTAGACCCCCTTACTGAAATGTTTGCGTCGCGGCCCCTGTTCGTAGATCTTCAATAATATTCAAATGTTGCAATTTTACCTTAGTTACTTGGTTACTCACGGCTTGTCGGCACGGCCAGGGACTTGGGTGAATAGTTCTGGCTGAGCAAAGACAGCTGAAACATGTATTGAGACTTTCAGCGTCTTTTCCTATTGGACCAAGTGCTAGGCACGACCATCCAATGACCACGCGTGTGTGTACATATCATCCAGGCACGAAATGTGTCAGTGGCTGAACAGTTTTTCGAGGCTTAAAAATTCCTGGTGATGTTCTGGGATGATTTCTATATCTCATAGAGGTTGTGTTATAGCTTTCTGCTACACATATATGTTGTGTCATAGCTTTCTGTAACACATATAGGTTGTGTCATAGCTTTCTGTTACACATATAGGTTGTGTCATAGCTTTCTGTAACACATTTATGATATGTCATAGCTTTCTGTTACACATGTAGGTTGTGTCATAGCTTTCTGTTACACATATATGTTGTGTCATAGCTTTCTGTTACACATGTAGGTTGTGTCATAGCTTTCTGTAACACATATATGATATGTCATAGCTTTCTGTTACACAAATAGGTTGTGTTATAGCTTTCTGTTACACATATATGTTGTGTCATAGCTTTCTGTTACAAATGTAGGTTGTGTCATAGCTTTCTGTAACACATATATGATATGTCATAGCTTTCTGTTACACATATAGGTTGTGTTATAGCTTTCTGTAACACATAGAGGTTGTGTTTTAGCTTTCTGTAACACATATATGATATGTCATAGCTTTCTGTTACACATATATGTTGTGTTATAGCTTTCTGTAACACATATATGATATGTCATAGCTTTCTGTTACACATGTAGGTTGTGTCATAGCTTTCTGTAACACATATATGATATGTCATAGCTTTCTGTTACACATATAGGTTGTGTTATAGCTTTCTGTAACACATAGAGGTTGTGTTTTAGCTTTCTGTAACACATATATGATATGTCATAGCTTTCTGTTACACATATATGTTGTGTTATAGCTTTCTGTAACACATATATGATATGTCATAGCTTTCTGTTACACATGTAGGTTGTGTCATAGCTTTCTGTAACACATATATGATATGTCATAGCTTTCTGTTACACATATAGGTTGTGCTATAGCTTTCTGTTACACATAGAGGTTGTGTTATAGCTTTCTGTAACACATATATGATATGTCATAGCTTTCTGTTACACATATAGGTTGTGTTATAGCTTTCTGTAACACATATATGATATGTCATAGCTTTCTGTAACACATATAGGTTGTGTTATAGCTTTCTGTAACACATATATGATATGTCATAGCTTTCTGTAACACATATAGGTTGTGTCATAGCTTTCTGTTACACATATAGGTTGTGTTATAGCTTTCTGTTACACATATAGGTTGTGTCATAGCTTTATGCTACACATATAGGTTGTGTCATAGCTTTCTGTTACACATATAGGTTGTGTCATAGCTTTCTGTTACTCATATAGGTGTTTGTTATACCTTTCTGTATCTCATATAGGTTTTTGTTATACCTTTCTGTAACTCATATAGGATGTGTTATAACTTTCTGTAACACATATAGGAGGTGCTATAGCTTCGTGTAACTCATATAGCAAGTATTACAGATTCCTGTAACACATATAGTGTGTGCTATGGATTACTGTAGCTCATAAAAAAAGCTGTTATAGCTTCCTGTAGCACATACAAGATGTGTTTTTTACTTCTTGTAACACGTATATGATGTGTTATAGCGTCCTCCAGAGCATCAGGTTGTGTTCTGGGCGTGGGAGTAGGGACTCAGCACTTTCATTACACCCATGGCACAACCATACGCATGTATCTACACATCAACTTAACAGTCGTGTCACAATGAGAACGGCCCACATATAACATGTTTGAATGGAGAAAAGTAGGGACGCATATCAGTTAAACAATGCGTGGTCATGAACCTAACGTTCCCTTAGTATCATGAGCTGTATGACGAGGCAGTTTATCTATACACATGGAAATTAGTTAAGCAACACCAGTATTTTCTCAGACTGAGCAATTTTAATGAACTAGTGCCGGAAATGTGTAAAAGATGTCCATACCGAATAAATTATTTAGTGAAAAGAGAGGGTTGGGGAGGAACATAGCCAAGGTTACCATGAAATAATGTGGCTGTTTTTGGAGATGTTACAGATTTGGAAAATGACTTAATTTCATCCCCCAAAAAAATTTAAATGTCACTTTTGTTGCACAGACTAAGCTGTCTGTACCATGCACACTTCTGGTGCACGGAGTTGAAGAACAATGTCCTTCAAGTCCAAATATTGACTTTCTATCGGTATCTTGTGTAACCTCCCTGAACCCGAACAACTGCTTCAAGACGCCTCCTTATTCTTTGAATCCATCTCTGGATTTGATTCTGAGGAATTCTGTCCCAATCTGTCCCATTTTAGGCCGTCGTGTTCGACAATATAGACCCACCTGTCCATATGGTCAATGAATTGACTGCTACTTTGCATGAGAAATGGGATTAACTTGCATATGGTTGCCCTTGTTATTTCCCGCCTGAAGAGCGTGTGCTGGGTCTCTGGTGTACACTCTCTGCCCGACAACATCCTACAGATGCTCTATTGGGGACACGTCAGGGACTTAGCGGGCCAGGCCACTCTCTGCCCGACAACATCCTACAGATGCTCTATTGGGGACACGTCAGGGACTTAGCGGGCCAGGCCACTCTCTGCCCGACAACATCCTACAGATGCTCTATTGGAGACACGTCAGTGACTTAGCGGGCCAGGCAAATGTCCGTATGCCTTCTCGGCGGGGATAATCGGTGATGACCTCTAGCCACGATGTCGTCTGGCATGTGTGATACCGCCCCACACCATGACACTACCACCCCCATCATGGTCAAGAATTGTCCTGGCATACTGCATACTGCTACGTCGCTAACAACATTTTCTAACATCTGTGGATCAGAGGAAAACCTTGATTCGTCTGTAAACATGGCGTATCCAACCCGTCCCTAGAGTTGCCCTGTCCACCCAAGTCGATGCCGCCTATGGCAAGCTGATGTGGTGGCACCCTTCACAGGACGCCTTGCTTTGGGGCTGCATAGAGCCGGATTTTAATGATAGATTCGTCTTCCTGTTATTGTACGGAATTCTCAACCAATAACAGGGACAGATTTGAATCGCAGTGCAACTAATGTCATGAGACAATCTTGTCTAGGTGTTGTCTTGTTAGGTCTGCCAGGCCCAGGTCTCATCGCAGCGCGACCCGTTTGACGGGCGGTTGCGCGGTACTTCGAACAACAGTCGAAAAATAACACTTTTTGATTTGCTAAACATCTCTATGGTACCCACAATTACCCAGTTTGTCGGTTCATGGAGATACTGATACGGAGGCATGTGAAGTGTGCGCTAAGCTCAGTTGTATTGCTGATTGGGAGTTCCCTTACAGACGCACACTTCGGGTTCTGTGTGCACATGCATCACGTGCTGTCCATGCATGATTTGAAATTTGTAAAGTCATTAGACGTTACGTTCAGATGCAACGCGACAGTACTGTAAACGTACATCTCAGCGATAGCTACATTTAACATTAATCATCGGGTCCCTGATCTGTTGTCGGTTGTATATATATTTTAAAACTTTAGCAATTGATGATTCTTTACGTTGCGAAGTGGTTTGAAATAACAGTGTGCGCATGTAGATTAATCTTTCATAAAAATGTAAAGCCAGGCGGACGTAGTAAAACATGATGACACAGGCTAGGGTGTGAGGTTAGTGTTCACCGACTCCCTGTAACAATGAATACAATAATATGCATATTATTGCCCATCACATAAAGCAGATACAACAATAATCTACTACACTTGTAAGATATTCATTATATAATATTCTACAATCATAAGCTCAGATATATAATTTTATTTGTTACAATTACACATTCAATATAAATATGGTACAGTGAACATGGCTTCTTTCAATAGTCAGAATCGTACATTTATGACAATACAAATACTATATATGTATTTATACGCGGTGAATCCCATTGAGGAGTACCTGGGTGATTACAACGACTGAATCCTCGTGATCACCTGTTCCTGATATAAAGTACATTTTGAAAACAATCCCATTTACACATATAAACTAAACTGCAATAGAAACTTTGCAAAGTTGTACCCAAATAGGCACAAACACATAGCCTAAAAGCATCGTTGTTGTACTTGTAATTTTTACCGGCAACGTGCACGTGCTTTTGAGAAAATGTGAAAAAATGTAAAATCACGTGATGTCATTGCTGGTAGAAATCTTTTTTTTCACACTATTGTGCGTGTGCTGTCAAAGTATCAAGCTATTTCTTCCTCTGTTTCAAAATACATAGCTGTAGTTGGATTTCCTAGATCGCTATCAAAACTACACCTATATTTTTTCTGTATATCCATTACTATTACACTATATATATGTATATACGAGGGGTGTCCCATAAGTTTCCGGCCTCCATAATAGGCCGTGGGCTAGGTATGACCCACGAGCACCCCCCCCCACATCCAAACCCAACTAATTTTTTTTAAACCCCATAAACATACTAAACATGATTTTGAATGTTAACAAGAAAAAAGTTGGGACGAACTTGTTGTTACAGCCTTTCAAAGTATGGTACCCTATATCGCGTTTTCGCCCGGTTTTGCCGTATATCACTTGGGGGTATGATTACGTTTTGGGTTGTCATCTCACTAGTGATCCACTGATCTTCAAGTGTGATATACCACTGGAAGCCATATATAAGTACCTCTCCAATGAGGTTTCAATAGTTGGTATTGAGTGAATATGGAGCAACCCATGGCAAATCGAACGTCATATATACCGACAAAACCAAATTCTTCTCGCAGAAACCTTTAATCCGGTATATGTTCTAGGTACGTGTGCCTGATTCCACTTTACTCGTCAAACAAGTGTTCCAGTACATCTCTTGAAGTACTTCTTAACATGTGATGTTACCAGGTGAAAATCTTTTGCACAATTTGGAACAAATTTACTCTTATAATATCAGAGTAGGATACCCAATATTGCATTCTCGGCTTAGCTACATCGGAACAACGCTTGGATGTATGCTCAGGATTTGGCTTGTCATCTTGTGTGTTATTCACCGATCTTGATGTGTTATATACC